TTAGATAGTTTTCACCCTTGAAACTGTATCAGTCAGTAGAAGAGGGGGGAAAAAAAACAACCACCACTGCCTTGAATGCTCATGTGCAAAGCAACTGCAAGCTGGTGTTTGCAAAGCAGCCAGCCTGGCCTATAGAGAGCTCACAGTAGCTTCTGGATCTGGGGGTTGTTTCTTTTACTATTATTACTAGAGCAGACGCTCTCTCAGTCTCTCTCCATTTGACCTGCAAGGAGCCCTCTCCCTCATTTCCCTCTGTAAAATAAGCTGAGTGATGCCCACAGCGCACTGACCACTTCCTACTAGTGGTCACTCTGGAAGGCCCAGACCCTCTGCTCCCACTGGTGTTCCCATCCTATGAATGTGAGCAGATCTTTCTGTTACTTAAAACTATTATGTTTAAAAAAAGTTTGATAAGGGTGGGGATTGTTTCTATGAAAACTATTGAATGCTTTGAGAAAATTCAAAGAATGAGTTGCTAAAAAAATTTGCTATTAAAGTTGAGGTGGGTGAGACATCTCTGAATGATTAGGGGAATAAAACTCTAGAAGGATTCTGTGCTTAGACTGCTTGGCAAGTGGTTTTTAATTCTCATTCTACTTTTAAGAAACCAAAACTGGAAATTGTAGGCAGAGCATTGGAGGTATAGCTGATACAGTCAGTAGACCCGTTCTAAAAGGGACAGGCTTCAGTTCTATATCAAAAAATTGTGGTTGGAAATTTTACAGCAAGTGACAGATGGCTTGAACATCAGGAAAACAATAATAGAGAATGTATTTCAAGAGCACTGATGGACATCTCCCACAACTCAGTGTTTTACTGAAACTTAAGTTTTTATCAGTAGAAAAAATTTGATTGGCAAACACTTTGTAGTTTTGAAACATGTCTAAATTATCAGATATTACCTCCAAAAACAGTGGCACTAAATCAGAACATCAGTGGGGGAAAAATCCCAAAGAAATACTTCTTGTAGCTGCCTGCTACTGAGAACCAGCTACATGATTTGCAGAGCCCCGTGAAAAATGAAAATCGAGAGCATTTTCGTGTTCAAATATTAATAAGCATTTCCTGATGAAGACAGCATTAAATCAAGCATGAGGCCCTTCTGAGCACGAGGCCCTGGGCAACCGCACAGGTCACACACCCACGAAGACGGTCCTGCGACCTATAAATGGCCACACTTTGTTATTGGCATATCAGTAAAACTTAAAAAAAAGCTTATTCTGTACCAGTTTACTGTCTCTTACAAAAGTCAGCATGGATGGAATAGGCTCAGAATTGATCATTTGTCATTGTATTTTTGATAAAGAAACAA